AACTTTTTCAGTCATTTAAAAATGTATGACTTCTGGGATGGGTAGAAATAGCTCGGGCCCAGCCCAGTTCAGCCCCACAGGCTGTAGTTCACAGTTCCTACTTGAAGGAAAGACTAAAGGTGTGTTTCTTTGCATTTTATCAGTTGGTGGCATCAGGTTAGCAAGGAGATCCTTGGGTGGCATATACTTAAGAAATGATCTAGAACCTGTACTGCACTACCCCCCACCCCACCTGAGAAAGTGAGAAGCAGGGAGTCAGCTTTCGGCCTGAGGTGGGAGAGAGAGGAGGATTGCAGCCCAGCAGCGTCTCTCTCAGTGCACACCTGTTAACCCAGGTTTTGTTTTGAGGAACTCAGCTAATTGCCATTCATGTTGATGTGACTCCTTTCTGCTCTGGTATGTCACCTGCTGCTGCTGTTACGTGTCATGGAGTCAGTTCCGACTCATAGTGACCCATGCTTCTCGCTGAATAGCCTGCTTCTGTCTGCACCTGGCTTCACAGAAGTTGTGTTCAATTTGGAAAGTCTAAATAGAATGATTGTCAAACTCAGTAGCCAAGTAAAATAGGATGTCTTACCAGGTATATAAAGGAACTCTGGTAGCGTAGTGGTTACAAATCGAGCTGTGAACCTCAAGGTCAGCAGTTCGAAACTACCAGCCGCTCCGCGGGAGAAAGATGAGGCTTTCTGCTCCCGTAAAGATTTACAGCCTCGGAAATCCTGTACAGGGTCGCTATGGGTCGGAACCAACTCCATGGCATATAACAACAAGAACCAGGTATATATGTACAAAACGTGCATCTCATGTGCCCAGAGCAGACATGCGTATATGTTTTGTCTCTAAAGTTACCAAGTCTCTCTCTGGATTTGCCCAATTTCTTTTGAAAGATTTGATGATACTGTTTCTAGGGGTGGTATTTTCTGACTACTCCATTTCTGTTACCTTTGTTATTCATAACTACAATTATTTGATTGTTGAAGATTACTTTGTATTAGAAAAATTGTTTTGTTTGGTTTCTGGCATAAGACACTGATATTTTTCTGCAGTGTTTTTGTTTTTATGAACTTTTCCAGCTGTGCTTTGGAAATGAAGGCAGTAGTGACTCAGTGATAGAGTTCTCCTACCTTCCATGTGGAAGACCCAGGTGCGATGCTTAGCCAGTCACCACCTGTGTGTCAGGGAGGCTTGCATGTTGCTGTGACGCTGAATACAACATCCAGAGTAAGCCAGCCCAGGAAGAATCTACTTCCAAAAATCAACCTTTGAAAACAGTACGAAGCGTAACAGTCGAATCCCATTGTGTTAGGGTCACTATGCAACACCAGATAGACTGTAGCAGGCGTGGGGGACTAAGCGGAAGCCTGAGTTTCCGCGGGGACTTTTATGATTCCTACCAGGCTCCATCTTGTCCGTTTCATACTTCCAGTCTTGAGTCACACTCTGAATCTTAGGCATCTTCCTTAACGCCAGTTGTCAAAGCCCTCATTTCACAAATCCCAGTACTAGCATCCTGTCTTGCCCCATCCTGCAGTATTCAGTCTTGGATCACCGACACAAGAGCGTGTGAACTGCAACTCTACCATTTGAGCTCTCTCACCATCGAGCCCTCAGCGTCCATTGGATTTGCAGACTTGCACGTTTGCCCCCTCGTTCCTCCTCACATTCTAATGAGGATGGGGGCGGGTCATTCCTCCTTCCTGTCCCCTTCCTCAGAGCTGTACCTGTGTCTGTCCAGTGGGCTTTAGAAATTGCCTCCGAGGGTGTATGATAAAAGTAGATGACATTATGAAATTATTTGTGTGGCATAAAGTTGTTATAAAAGATAAGGACTCATTTCTGCCACTATGACTGCAAAGGAATTAATTTCTACAATTGTTGTTAAATGCCATTGAGTCTGTCTGACTCATAGTGACCCTACCCACAACGGAACAAAACACTGGTCTGGTTCCTGCACCATCCTCAAAATTCTTGCCAGTTTGAGCAGCCACTTGTCAGTCCATCCGTTAGGGATCTTATTTTGTCGCTGACCTTCCAGTGTTCCAGGTGTGATGCCCTTCTCCAGGGACTGGTCCCTCCTGATAACATGTCCAAAGTGTGTGAGAAGCCTCACCATTCTCACTTCTAAGGAACATTCTGGCTCTTCTTCTTCCAGCACAGACTTGTTTGTTCTTCTGACAGCCCATTCAGTATTCTTCACCGATAGTGTATCATTCAAAGCATCCATTCTTCCTAGGACTTCCTTACTCATTGTCCCGGTTTCCCATACATATGAGATGATTGAAAATTCCGTAGTTTTGGTCAAGTGCACCTTAGTCTTCAAAGTTATGTCTTTGCTTCTTAACACTTTAAAACGAGTTTTTGGCAGCAGATTAGCTCAGTACAATGTGTCATGGGATTTATTGACTGCTGATCCAAATTAATAAAATATAACCCTTGACAACTTCAATTTTTTTCTCCATTTATCATACTGCTTCTTATTGGTCCCATTGTTAGAATTTTGTTTTTCTTAAATTGAAGAATAATCTGTACAGAAACCTGTAATTTTTTATCTTCTTGAATAAATGCTTCAGGTTCTCTTTGCTTTCAGTGAGCAAGATTGTGTATCATCTGCATAATGCAAGTTGTTAATGAAGCTTCCCGGAATCCTGATGACGTGTTCTCCGCTTAGTCCAGCTTTTTTCTGGTTAATTGCTTCACAAATACAGATTGAAGAAGCATGGTTCAAAGATGCAGTGTTCTATTTTGGGGACAGACAGTGTGAGCACCTGCAGCAATGCAGCACTTTGCTAAAGCATTTCAGTTAGTACTCGGTCAATTCCTGCATCTTTATTTTTCTGCACTGTCTTTGGTGCAGTTTAGACTTTTTCCTACAACATCATCAGCTTTTGATCATCTGCTCCCTCCTGAAACAGTTGAACGATGCCTGATTGTTTTTGATACAGTTACTCTGAATTCTTTGCATCTTCTTTTGATGCTTCTTGCTTCATTTAATCATTTGCCCATAGAATCCTTCACGTTGGCAACTCGAGGCTTAAGTTTTTTATGCAGTTCTTTCAGCTTCTCAGAAATGCTGTGTGTGCTTTCCTTTTGGCTTTTTAGCTCCAGGTCTTTACACATTTCATAATACTTTACATTGTCTTCTCAAGCCACCCTTGGAAGTCTTCTGTTCAGCTCTTTCACTTCATCATTTCTTCCATTTGTTTTAACTTCTCTACATTCAAGGGAAAGTTCCAGTCTCGTCTGGCATCCATGTTTCGCTTTTCTGTATTTTTAGTGACCTTTTATTTCTTCATGTATGATGTTCTTGGTGTGATCCCAGTACTCATCTGGTATTCAGTTATTGGTGTTCAGTGCATCCAGTCTGGTCTTGATGGTCTTTGAATGCAGATGCGGTATCATCACGGACGTCCTTTGATTCCCATAGACTTGTTTTAATTCTTCAATTTCAGTTTGAACTTGCATATAAGCATTGGTGGTCTTTTCTTTCACTGTCAGCCCCTAGCTTTGTTCTGGCTGATAATGCTGAGCTTTTTCATTGTCTCTGCAGATGTGGTTGATTGGATTCACGTATATTCAAGCTGGCAAATGGTTGAACAAGTCGCCATTTATGTTGTTGAAAAAGATATTTTCAATGAGTAAGTCATTGTTCTTGCAAATTTCATCGTGAGGTCTTAGTGTGGTTTCTCTTACCAACACCGTATTTTCTGACTACAGAATCTTCTTCCTTGATTCCAGCTGTCTCATTCCAATCACTAGTAATTATCAATGCTTCTTGATTGCAAGTTTCACCAATTTCTTGACTATAGAAGTTGGTAGATTTCCTCAGTCTCTGCATCTCTTAACTGGTTGGTGAATACATTTGAATAATAGTCATATTAACTGACCTTCTTGCAAGCGTATGAATATTACCCTATGACTGACAGCTTTGTACTTCAGGTTAGAGCTTAAAAAGTTCTCTTAGACAATTAATGCAATGCTATTTCTCTTTGTCATAGTAGACTATATGGAAGGCTTGCTACTGGTGCTTTAATTACTGGCATGGTAGCCCATGGTGGAGAGGTGTCTGCAGCTTCCAGACTTAGACAGACTAGGAAGGAGGACCTACTGTCATGCCTTCCAGCATCACAATGGTGTGTGTAAGCCCCCACTGTACAGCCAACAGATAGACAAGTGGTGATAAAAAAAATACATCACTCTTTATTTTAATGACAACCCTGTAGACTATTTTAAAACAAAAGGTTCTCACTAACAAGTTTGGCTAAAACTTTGACTGCCATCACATTAGCATCACCCAGTTTGAAATTCAAGCTGTTCTCCAGTGTCAGCTCCTAAGTACAGGGACCCCTGTCATATTGTAATGGTGAATGACCCCCCCCGGAAAGTACTGTCTGCACTTGGTTCATTGGATGGGGTGCTGCCTGCTGAGAGGAAAGGATGGTTTATTCAGTTATAGGGAGATTAGCTTTGTTCTCAGGAAGGCACTGGCGGCTCAGGGGTGAATGTCTCACCTCCGTGTGTGCGGGAGACCCAGGTTTGATTTGGAGCCAGGATGCCCTTTGTGTGGCTATATGGTGACCCCGTTTCTGCAGAGCTCCCACACTACAGCAGACTGAAAAGAAAGTCAGTGATGATCCGCTGAATGGATCTGACCGGACAGCAGTGTTCTCCTTGAGGCCTCCGCCTGTGGAGACCTGCTTAGTTGTCCCCGGTCTGGCAGGCAGGAACCCAGTGCTTGGATATCACCCAGAAGTGCTTCCTCTCTCTGAAGAGGCCTTTGTTGTGATTTTTAAATGGTCTTTTGATCGGGTATTGATCCAAATACGGTTTTGTTTGTGCTTTTTCATTGTGTTTTCCGTGAAAGTTTACCCAACATATTAGGCTCCCATTTAACAACTTCTGTCCGTTTTGTTTGGTGACAGTGACTATGTTTTCCACGGTGTGTCAACCCTGTTGTTGTTTCCCACCTATGGCTCACTCACACGCCTTTCCTTCCTTCTCAGGACCTGTCTGGCTCCATTGACGACCTCCCCACCGGAACTGAAGCGACTCTGAGCTCAGCAGTTAGCGCCTCCGGGTCCACGAGCAGCCAAGGGGATCAGAGCAACCCTGCCCAGTCCCCCTTCTCCCCGCACGCGTCCCCGCACCTCGCCAGCATCCCCGGGGGCCCATCGCCTTCTCCCGTGGGCTCTCCTGTCGGGAGCAACCAGTCAAGGTCTGGCCCAATCTCTCCTGCAAGTATCCCAGGTATTCCATTTCTTAATCATTTTGCACCTCACTCTGTAGTGAAGGACAGGCCTAGGGCCAATCCACAGCACCGTTCCTTAGGGGGGGCCCTATGGAAATTCTCAGTGTAGAAGTACAACTTGATGAATTGTCTCCTGAGCACCCAGAAGTCCCAGTCCGTAATGATGCAGAAAGAGTGATGGGTATTACACCAGCTCATGCGATCACCAAGTCCTTGGGGGTTTCCTGTGTGTACATTTACCTTACCTCGTGCCAGAACCATGACATGCGGTCTTTGGCTAACATATGTGTATGTAATGATTCCACCAAGTCAGATCATCTGTTGATAAATCGCACTAAATTAGAGATCGTTGACTAGAATTAGCTATTTATTTGTCTGTTTATTTAACAGTTCTGTCTTAATATAAAGAGTTCTGGTAGCGCAGTGGTTATGTGTTTGGCTGCTAACCGCAACGTCAGCAGTTTGAATCTCCCAGCTGCCCCAGATGAGGCTTTCTGCTCCCGTAAAGATGTATTGCCTCGGAAACCATATGCAGGATCACTATGGTCAGAATGGCTCAGTGGCACACACCACCCCTGTCTTAATAAATACAATTGCCATTCTTTTCTCAAATATTTTTATGGTTGGTGCTTAGTGTTTAATTTGTCAGCCCACGTTCTGGGTCTTAACTGCTGATCTAAACTCTTAACTTCTTTTGGATGCAAACAGTTTATGCTCCTCTTAGCGCCTGTGTCCAGTTTTTCCAGCAGTCCGAAAGCTGTTGTGTCCTGTGCTTTCTCTGTGCTGGACTTGGGCTTATTTCTGGTTTCCACGTTACCTCGAATTCAGGCCTCAACAGATATTTTGTATCCAGTTTTATCCATTCAGGTCCACCCCGTAACCATCAACACATGCCACGTGATTGCTTGTCATGTAGCTTTTGCTAACATGATAGAGGTGGCTGCCGGAAGCCCCTCTTTTAGTGTCCTATCAGAGTGATATTAATTGGTCACTGCTTTTTCTGGTAATTATTTCATCTCAAAAGCACAAACACTCTTTGGACCCGCTTGTACCATTATGCTGCTTTTGCATTTTTAAAACATGTTTATGTTTATGTTATTGCTGGGTGTTGTGTATACAGATACACACACACACACACACACACACACATATATATAATATGAATTATATATATTATATTTGTGTATGTGTAAGTTCAGCGAGCATGGTGGCTCCATAGGATAAGCAGTGGACTGTGAACCACAAGGTTGGCAGTTTGAGCCCACCAGCCATTCTGTGGGAGAAAAGATGAGGCATTCTGCTCCTGCACAGATTTACAGCCTCGGAAACCCTGTACAGGGTCACTATGAGTCAGAACCAACTCGACAGCACATAACAACAAACATATGTAAGTTCATACACTTCTACTAAAAGTTCCACCTTTTTTTTTTCCCATGATACATTATTCAGGTAAATTCTTAACTATCTTGTCTGAGTGTAAAGCTGAATAACGTAGACTTATATAAACATGGAAACAGTAACATTACTTAATGCTAGTGTTTCTTCTTGTTAGAAAATCTGATGACCCGTTTTGATGGCATTGCTCATCATTCTCCCGTTTGCAATGGATCCATCTGCACCATCTTCTTTTTGTATATCCACCACAATTGGCTTTGTGACCTTGGACAAGCTTCTAGCCCTGTCTGTGTCAGATTCTGTATCTGTCATTTACAAATAAGCACATCTCACAGGGCTGTTGGAAAGATTAAATGTGTTCTTGCACATAAAGCAGGCTCGTTTAGGCTAGTTAGCATTACTCCAACTAGTAATAGCAATAAGCATCTTGAATACTAATAACTATTTAGTGCTAATTCATATGGTGATGATGATGAGTACAGGTGTCCTTCCTAGAGACTTGTCCGTGCTAATCACTGTTCATCGTAGTAGTAGCGTTCACGGTGGTGCCCTCAAGTCTTCTGATTCTGTGCCCGATGATGTTCTTGTACAATTCAGGATACATGTGTCCTAAAGTTCCCCAGTAGCTCCACTAGAGCTGGTAGGAAAAGCACAAGAAATCAACATGAAGCTAGCGGCCATGGCGTCATTTCCAAGTCCTGATGATCCCATGTGTTACAGAGAACTGCACTCCACAGAAATTTCAAATCTCATTTTTTAAAGAGTATCACAGGCCTTTCTTCTAAGGTGCTCTGGGTAGATTCTAAATTCCAACTTTTCAGGTGAGTGCTTAACCAGGTGACCACCAGGGACTCAACTTTTTAAAAAAGATAGGCCAACAGTTGTTCTTCTGGGAGATGTGGCCTGAAAGGTTAAGAAGACAAGTCTGTATCTCAGAGATTGAGACTTTTAACTGTTGTCTCCGCACAGAAACAGTTTAGTTAGATAGTGCACCTCTACCTCATTTATGGAGTACTGATGTGGCGCTGGAGCACAAGGTCAGTGGTTCGAACCCATAGCTGCTCCTCGGAAACCCTGTACAGGGTTGTTATGGGTCAGAACCAACTCAATAACACTTACCAACAGCAAAAACCCTTCATTCATACCGTAGGCACAATGATTGCAGTGGGGTTGGCAGGAGTCAAGCATAACAGTGGACACTAGATGAAGTTCAAGGTCCTGGGTTGCTCAGTCTTTTTGAGTTGAGACACAACCAAAGATCAGGTTGCTCATCTCGAGGGGACATGGGTGCTAAGGGGCCATTGAGAGCTGACATGCAGCCTGCTCCCCCCATCAAGGGGTGTCCTTTCCTAATTCATACAGAGGAGCCAGGAAGCAGTCCACAACCTTGACCTGGACCTTTCATCGTAAACCCACTCCACACTTACCTACATCGTTAGGTTTCCAGAAACAGGTTGTTACATGAAAATCCACATTCTGCAAAATGGAGGATAGTCACATCAGATTGAAAACTGGAGGATGACTTTCGTCATCATTTCATGACTGCCAAATTCCACCATTGCCATAACTTTCAAACTGCAGATCTGCCCTCACCTCTCTCCTGTTACTTCCTGGCCACCTGTCTGTCACCTTAGATCCTCGTCACAGCCAGCCAGAGTGAGGCAGAGTCATAGTAACGTGGGAGTTCTCCCGGATACTGCTTTCCCAGCTGGCTTCTCCATCCCTGCCCAGAAAGGGCCATGGTCCCTAATGAGAAGCACCAGGAAGGGGGACAAGCAGAGCCTCCCAAAGGGCTGACTCCTGTCCGGCTGTGAAACCATTTCTCCAAATCTGCCCTCCCATCTCGCTGCCCGACAAACAGTGTGTGGTGGTGGGCACAACTTCTGTGAGCTTCTAAGGAGGCTTTGTGGGATCAGAAGCCACAGGGACCCCACCGCCTTTGTTTGCATGTGACTGGGGAGGGACAGACTTCAACCTTGGTTGTGAAATCTGAACACATCTTGGAGAGCAGCGGTGAGCAGGTCTCTGCTGTACCGTTATATACAGCTCCTGTTTCTCACTTTCTTCCCTGCTCTCTCCTCTCCATGTGGATTCATCTAAACTCGGGGAGAGAAGTGAAATCGCTTCTTCTTCCCAAGTGGTAGTTACAGTAAACAAACAACTCCAAGGTGTGCCTGGATACACACATTTAAATTGCACCGATCTAGTGAGTGTGGTGCTGCAGGGTAAGCATTGGACTTCAAGGTCAATTTGAACAGCAAGGTGGTGCTTCAAACCCACCAGAAACTCTATACTGGGTCGGTATGAATCAGAACCGACTCGAAGGCACTTAACAATGCTGAGTGCAGTTCTGAAATTGAGAAGCTCGGATGTTCCTGCTAAGAAATGATGCCCTCACAGGTGGTGTTGGCAGCTTCCTGGGCTACCCACTAACGTGACTGTTGGCATGGTTTAAGCGCACAGGCCACGCGGTCTTGGTGGCACTGTAAGGTCTCTAGTACACTCTGCCCAGTCCTGCTTCACGCAGCTGTGGTCACTGAGACAGCACACCTCCAGAGGGCATTGGAGTTGCCGGAAGATTCAGCAATATTAATTCCACTTGATTCGGCTGGCTCCAGAGCCTACACCATTCTAGTTTACTAACAAAGCAAAAATGTAAATAAGCCCACCTTCATTTTCATTTTTACTTTATTAACCAAAGTCTTTTGTCAGCTTTTCTCTCCTTGTGCTGTAAATGGCAGCGGTTTATTAAGGAGGGCACATGCTAAAGGCTGGGGAGGGCAGACAGTGCTAAACCATTCATAGCCTAATGGACGTCCCTGCACATCAGAATTTGCAATGCCCTGATGGCTGTTGGAAGCTCATTGATTTTTGTTAAAGAAGAGCTAAGACTCGTAATCATAAATACGCAAATTATTTTTTGTTGTTGTTTGTTACCCTCCCCTCTTCCATTCTTCCCCCCACCCCCACCCCAACTTTGTCATTTGTGCCACATGTGGTTTTTGATGAAGTGAAGTCATCCGCTTTCATCTGACAACAGAAAGGCCGTTGATTATGTGAAATCAGAAGGCCCATTCGTGGTTCACATTAGCACCTTGACAAGTAGCCCTTCTTTCTCTTGCCTGGTCCTGGATGTTGATTGCGGGAAGCCTGATCAAAGGCAGCCTCTTCTAGGCTGTCCTAGACAGAAACAAAAGTTAGTGTCACCAACGACAAAAGTGAAGCTCCCTCTCTCTTCTTTAATTTGTTTGTACCTTGCTGTTTAAGGTGTCTGATTGGCCTATCCCCTTTCCTGACTGAAGGCTACCTGTAGGGGGTGAGAAAGTAAGAGGCTGTAGCTCAGGGAGATTAAGAACTGCGAGATTGAGAGGCTGGAGGAGGCGCAAAGAAGACTGCCCTGTGTCTATTGTCTCTCAGGATCTGCACTCGTGGCTTCCTTGTCTCACCCTCACAACTTGTCCCCCCCATGAATACCTCTGCCCACGCACCCCCTAGGGGAGCCACCCCAGAGCCCCGTAATTGCAGCCTCTATCCACACAAATTAATAGACAGCAGGTAACTTGAGTTGCTCTCCTTTGAAAAGGATCACAGGTTTAAGAGGCTG